AATCATGGTTACGTGAGAGAAATCCGCCAAAAAAAAAACAAAAAAAAAATATTTAAATTGTTACTTAATTAGTAATTATATATAATATATATATATATATATATATATATATATATATATATAATATTTTAGTACTGGTGAAAATAAATATCTCTATTTTTATATTTGCAGATAATATTATCAACTATAATTTTGAACATAGTGCTCGCAAAACGTATCACGGAGTACAACACGATATCAACATTTGATGGAAAATCAAAACCCATGTCTCAGAGAGTCAATTATGCAAAAGCATACCGAAGGAATTGGTCAACAAAATCAAGCAATACAGAGTTTTACAAAAACATGCCACCTTATTTAGTGTTTAATAAAAAAAGTGGTGCATACTATCCATATTTTAAATTTCCATATGAAAATAATTTGAGGAGAATGCAAGGAGCGTAAAATTGTTATTATTTATGGAAACAACTAATGTAGAAAATATTGAAACGTATTAAAATGGAAAGCGAAAGTTTTTAGAACTAACTATATTGCTTAAAATATACAGTTATCACACTAATATAACCAAATGTGAAAGTGAAGGAAAGAGTGTATATATGAGTCTCTCACTTCTTCACACTGTCGGTCAACATATTTGGCCGAAAATGGGAACGAATGTGCTTTAGAACCACAGGCAAAGAGTTCAGTTCAGTACATGTACCTTTTCGATTATAACAGGATATCATCCATATATGTATTTACATAAAATGAATAGTTAATTGCATTAAATATATTTAACGCCAATTACTTACTTTTTATAACGTTATTATATAATATTTTATGTGTATAATATTTCAGTAAGAAATAGTTTTTTGTATGACTTAAGTTCACTAATGCAGAGTGTTTCTTGATAGCTAAACCTACCGATATTGTACATAATGCAACAACAACAAACAGCCTGAAATTCTAAGCTATTTTGTCAAAATAATTTATTTTTTTATTAACTTAAAGAGCCTGAAATCTCATGTAAAATGTTTCTTCATCCATCTGCTTACAGTTAGGGTAAATTTTGTACTAAACACTAGTATATAAGCAAATATATAATTGTTATTCATTGAAATTTCAAAAAAATATACCTAATATTTTACTTTCAATGAATATTAGATGCATTACATTACGGCCTTGCTTTTCCTTCAGACATCAGCTTCATGTATTAAATGTATGAGCGACTATCAGTTGATGTCAAATATTACAGTAATTTGATGGATGTAAATATTATTATGTAAATAAAAGGCTAAGCTGATACAAAGACTTAATTGTATTTAAGTGTATAACTTAGAAATAAAATGATGTGATTTTTTATTTATTAAAATATGAATAAATTTGTCAAAATAAATATAAAAAATCCTAGTGTGATTTCCTACCCATATCTAATTTATCTATACATATAATAAAATTCTAACTGAGTCGAATCTGTACATTAAATATTTTTTGGAAAATCTTATTGAAATAGACATTATTATCGACGCAGAGGCCGAATCTATAGTTTTTAGAATTTTTGTCTGTCTGTCTGTCTATCTGTGACCGCATCACGGAAAAATCACTGGAGGGATTTTGATGAAGTATGATGACAACTGGTTACCCGAGTCAGCATATAGGATACTTTTCACTGCGAGAAAATATCTCGTCTTTGAAAAATCTATACTAAATGTTAAAACGTAAGTAGGAACGAACCCGAGCGGAGCGAGAGTGAGTCGCTAGGTAATATTATAAAATTATATGTATTTTTTATCTGCACTTTGTATGGTTTGGAAAATCAACGTTTAACGGGCAAAATAAAACAACTTTTTTCACCTCCGTTTGTCAACCGATTTTCTTTTTATTGCTTAATAGCTTTTGACGAGTTTTAATGTAACCAAAAAAAAATTGGAAACACTTTTTGATGTTATACTTCTTTTGGCACGTTTGGAAAAAATTATGAGCGTAAAATTTTTACGATGCGCGCGCACACCGACAGCCAAAAAGCGACATGATAAAGTTAGCTAAAAGCGACTTGTTGAAGTTAGCTAATACCTGTCATTTATTTTTATTAATTTATCATTTTACAAACAGAGAGTTGTGACATACGAGATGAAATCTTTAGCTATTTTTGTTCTGTATGCCAAAGAAGTATAACTTCTTACGTGCGTACATAAGTACACACACGCGTTTTTTTTAATATAGATAGACAAAGACAAAACAGGTCAGTACTTCTTCTCGCTAGCTTATGAATCGATTTTCTTTTATTTGTTTAGTAGCCATTAACGAGCTTTAGAGTCTCAATTGGGTAGAATTTTGCCTTTTTCTCCCGCCAGATATCCCGATCACTGTGACCCTGAGTATATTGTAAAGCTCTATAGTGTGGATAGTTTTTCTTTTTCATTTTATTGAATATTTAATTAAAATGACAAATTGTGCAGTGCCAGGATGCAAAGAAAATGGATATGTTGACACGTTTGGCTCAGTTTGTAGTTACACTACTTGCTGCGCCAGCAGTCGCGGGTTCGAGTCCCGCTAGGGACATTAATTTGTGTGATGAGCACGCATGTTTGACCTCTAGTCATGGGTGTTTATATTTATAATGTATGTATTTAAAGTTATACATGTGTAATGTATCAACTATCTGGTATCCATACCACAAGCCTCGTAGCTTACCATGGAACTAGATGGTGCTGTGTGTTAATGTCCCAACACATTTATTTATATCATTTGTTCTCAAAAGACAAAAACTAAATAAATGTGGGCTAAAGCAATAAAATGACCAAAATTGGCGAAATCACAATCTTTATATTTATAGTTATGGGGACATCATTTTACAGAAAGTGATTTTAAAACTCTTAAATTATCTACAGGTAAATATGTTTTTTTTATTTTTTGTACTTTATTACATAATAATTACAGAGTTTCCTACAAACTCAAACTTTCATCCCCCATTTAACCCCCTTATGGGATTGAATATCAAAAAATGCTAAAACTCGTATTTTTTTTACTTGTATTGAAGAGCATTAATACCAAGTTTCAAGTAATTCTGATCATAAATAATTCTTTGCCCACTGCTTTATTACCCGCTTTTAAACATTTAAAGGATGAATTTCGAAAAAGTGAAATAAATATATTTCTTATTGTTTATCTTAAATCTAAACACCACTTTCTGTGTATTTCACATTAAGAATGACAGAGTTTCATACAATCTTTAATCCCCTATTTTACCCTCTTAGGGGATGAATTTCGAAAGATTCTTAACGGATGCCTACATCTTATAAAGAATACGTCCTCCAAATTTGACGTTCCTATAACCAGCGGTTTAGGCTGTGTGTTGACCCATCAGTTAGTCAGGACCACCACAGGATGCACCTCTCCTTCTCAATTATTCCTTCAGCTGTTCTAACTTCTAGGTACAATACATCACACAGGTAAGATGCAAATACAATAGAAACAAAAAACCAGGTATTAAAGAGATATCACAATAAATTGCTTATTCAAATAATTACATATTATAAATAAATGTTGGAACATTAACACACAGCGCCATCTAGTTCCATGGTAAGCTACGAGGCTCGTGTTATGGACACCAGATAGTTGAAACACTACATATATATAACTTTTAAATACATACATATTATAAATAATTAAATATAAACACCCATGACTGGAGTACAAATATTCGTGCTCATCACACAAATGAATGCCCCCAGCGGGAAACGAACCCGCGACCGCTGGCACATCAAGTAGGGTCACTACCAACTGAGCCAAACGTGTCGTCGAATTATATAAACAAACTTAACCAAATATATATACAAACTTATAATTATATAAACATTCTTAACCTAATTATAGTATGTGCATTTAAAATTAGATAAAAATATTGAAAACATAAAAAAATACATTTCATTTAAAAAAAGAAACAGCGAAAGAAAAAAAAGAAGAAGAAACAGAGAGACAGCAAGCCTTTATTATCGAAAATGTAAAAGATAAAAAAGAAATAATAATTTATTTCTTTTTTCCTGAATAAAAAAAAACGATTTTAAAGAAAGTCGTATTCATTATTTAAACTATTGTATGTTTTACATTTTCTATTTAAAGGGTTGTTTTGAAAAATATTATTAGTTCATAGACCAAGAACAACAAGATTATTAGTTGCCGAAGGTATATTAAAAGTTGTGGCTGACGAATTGAGTGGGTATGAATTTTAAATTCCAATTTTTCTAACAACTGATTGAGAATCTGACATAATACAGCGATCTTCCAGGCTTTTTAGTTTGTATTTATCAAGTCTGTCAGCATAAGTAGGTACCACACGCTTGAGACCTTGCCGTCTGCTTAATATTTTTAGAAATTTACATTGTATAGCCTCGATTCTGTTAATATTAATGTCTGTCTCGTTTCCATACGAAAGAACAGTATTCAAGTATGCTTCATACCATGATGACATACAAAATTATCCACGAGGTTGAATTTGTTAATATATTGTATTATAATTTGGCAAAACATAACCAGTATTTTGATTAAACTCGTTACTGGTAATATAATTAAAGTATACTTACTCCCTCTTGATTATTCCGTTATAGTGAAAAATACCTGATCAACTTGTCCGTTTTAATAACACTTTGACGTCAATTATATGATTAATAAGAAGAAGAACTTTTTCACATATCTATCTGAGCATTATTATTAGGAATATTTTACACAGATTACCTTAAAATTTATTTTCTTTAATACCCGAGCAAAACTTAAATAACTAGTGGTTCAAAAATAAAACGTTCTTTGAGAAGGATAAAAATATAAAATAAGATATTATAGTGCACAAGTCTACGCGCAGAGACAGGTGCACTCTCTATTCCTGTCACTCTCATACTCCGGTGGGACTACTACTCGACACGGCCGGTGAGAAAGGCGCAGGACCGACTGCTTTACGTGCTCTCCGAGGCAGAGGGGTGAAACACCGCCAATTTCCCAACTCCAGGCTGTTACTGAGGCTTACTATGCAGAAAGACTCAATAACTAAACTTGGCCGGACCCGGGACTCGAACCCAGGTCCTCAGGGTGTGCAGCCGTACATGCTAGACACTACACCAACGAGACATTTAATTACAGAATAACGTAAATTACATAATCAGGTATAATATAATAAGAATCAATCTAAACACAAAATAAAATTGAAAAACTTTTTAACAAAAAAATAAAAACCGACTTCAAACAAAAACACTAAAAAGTAAAAAATAACTGATTGGTAGTTTTCATTTACTATACATACCTAATCAAATATTTTCGAAGTCGGTGTGCTTTGCTTTGTATGGGCTGGCACCGATTTCGAAAATATTTGATTTGGTATGTATTTAATAGGTAGGCTTTAATTATTTAGCCAAAGCACACCGACTTCGATAATATTTGATTAGGTATGTATAGTAAATGAAAACTACCAATCAGTTATTTTTTACTTTTTAGTGCTTTTGTTTGAAGTCGGTTTTTATTTTTTGTTAAAAAGTTTTTATTTTTCCCTTTTTAGTGTAGACAGTAGTAGCAAAGTAAGAATTCTAACGTGTTAGGCTTGTCGAATCAAACAAAATAAGCCCAAACTCAAAGTATCTACTATTAGCCGTTGAAGAGTTCCACCTATCCACCTTCTGGCCTTACCATCAGATCAGGTCAACAATACCGAACCACTGCAAACATCAACGGAAATAGAAACACTTGCAAAGTTTCAAGTCAATATGACAATTAGAAGTAGGTTAAATGCATCATTAGATATTTTTCCACCCTTAGGGGTGGTTTTTTTTTTGAAACTTAAATGGGACCAATCTGGAAGTATACACTTTCAAACAACACAAAAATATATGAAAAACGTAATAAGTGCCTATAAAATTTGAGATTTGCCTTCGATTTCCCTGAGATCCCATCATCAGATCGTGACTTGGTGACTATGTGACCAACTTGAAACTATACCCTTTCAAACAAAAAAAGAATTTTCCAAATCGGTCCAGCCATCTTCGAGTAATGGGGAACATACATAAAAAAAAGTCCCCAACGAATTGAGAACCTCCTCCTTTTTTTGAAGTCGGTTAATAAGAGCCTGAAAGAATTTAACTATCGGTCTATAATTACGTATAATATTGAAAGAATTTCCTTTAAACTCCTAACCGTTGAGGAGTTGTACCTTCCATCATTAGCTCAACCACAGGAGATTATGATTATCAGACGCAAATACTTGAACAGCTTTAGGAAATATATGAAAAACGTAATAAGTGCCTATAAAATTTAAGAGTTGCCTTCGATTTCCCTGGGATCCCATCATCAGATCGTGACTTGGTGACTATGGGACCAACTTGAAACTATACCCTTTCAAAAAAAAAAGAATTTTACAAATCGGTCCAGCCATCGTCGAGTAATCGGGGAACATACATAAAAAAAAAGTCCCCGACGAATTGAGAACCTCCTCATTTTTTTGAAGTCGGTTAAAAATAAGCCGAATCTGTACATTAAATATTTTTTGGAAAATCTTATTAAAATATACTTTATTATCGAGTAGCGACTAACCCTCGCTCCGCTCGTAACGTAAGAGTAATGTCTATTTCGTCAGATACGGCTTAGTTACAATTTTATTATATGTATAGATACAGGCGCCGAATCTATAGTTTTTAGAATTTTAGTCTGTCTGTCTGTATGTTACCGCATCACAGAAAAACCACTGGAGGGATCTTGAAGAAATTTGGTATGGTGATATCTGGTTATCCGGGTCAACATATAGGATACTTTTTACTGCGGGAAAATATCTTACTTCTGAGAAAAAATACAAATACTGCAATGTAAGAGTATATTAATATGTAAAACCTAAGAATTTGGATTTTGGTTATCTGAATGCGGGCGGAGCCGTTGGCAATGCTAGTTTATATTCTAATAATGTAGTTTAGTCCACGTACGTCTAAATATTGACATAGTTTGAGTTCTTAAAACTATTTAGTTTACGAGAATTAAACAACAAACCAAACACTTGAAAATAAATGTTAAAAACGTCATCTCCAACTTTGGATCGCAAAGCAAGATCTATTTAGAATTTGGTTTTTGGTCATCTGAACGCGGGCGGAGTCGCGGGCAATGCTAGTACAAAATAAAGGATCACAATTTATTGTAGCCATAATTTAAGTGTCTTATAGCTAGAAAGCATACTACGGTCCCACCCTATTCCTAGTTTTTATCAACATGTATGTAACCTTAAAATCCCAAGTGCTAAAGTTATACCATATGCTGACCATACCGCTATAACTCCTGTTGTGGAGACCTGGTCTGGTCTAGAGTATATGGCACAACATGGAATAAACTTCACCTTAACTGGCTTTATTCCCATACACTGATTGTTAATATCTCAAAAACAAATTTTGTTAATTATTCGATCACTTCAGCCACACACTTGCTATACACTTGTTAACCACTTGTCAATGTCCTAACATAACTTCAGTTGACTATATAAACTACCTAGGTAGGTAG